ATATGATTATAAAATATTCTTTTACTTAATTTTTTATAATACAAATAAATACTCATTGATTTCTTATACTTATCAAAAAAAAAATTATATACTCCATAAGAATTAAAAATGAATTTTAATATGGATAAATGTTATTTTATGCCCTAAGTATTTTAACCCTATAGTTAAAAAAAAAGAAGAAGAAAAAGGTATTTTATTTTACCCCCTAATCTTTTTCTCATTATAATTATTCCCGACCTCTAAAAGATAGTAGCATATATGGATAACAAAACCCGATTATTAACCATGTTAATGACCAATTATCACACCAAGCATATATGTAATTTATTCCAATGTGATCATATGATTGAAGTTTTATATGTCATGTGACTTATATACATTATTTTGTTGAATAATAGTGAGAATCTATAATACTTGTTAGCAACAAATTTTCTAATATACTTTATCTACTTAATTTGAATTAGAAAATGAAGGTAGTAAAAATATGGTTAACAATAGGAGATAAAAAAAGAAAGAAGGGGACTTGTTGAACATAATTTTTTTTAAATGGACCTCAATAATGGTAAAGTTTATATATATATATATATGTAATGCTAACATACAATAAAATTTTATTGTTTCTAAATTCACTATAAAAAAATATTTTTTAAGTCTTTAATTAAAGTAATTAATTTTAAAAAATAAAAAAGTGAATATTAATTTATATTATAAAAAATTAAAAATATATTTTAAAAGTATATCATTTTAATAAAGTTATATCAACAAAACTAAAATATTTTAATTTTTAAAATAAAAATAATTTTATTTAAGTCATTTTTCATGATATTTTATTAAAATAATATAATTTTTAATATTTTTTATTTAATTCTTTTATAAATTTAGTTCATAAACACTAACTTTTTTAAAAAAATCAATTATTTGTTAATTAATAAAGCTTGATTTGTTTAAAGAGTAATGATGAGGATAACAGAAATTAAATTTAAATTAATAATGTGACTTATATATGTTATTAAATTAATTAATGTATATAATATTATATATTTTTAAAAAATTTATTGTTAAATAATATAAAATCTATTTTTAAATATTTTAAATAACAAAACGTAAATTAAATTATTAATTTTATATTTTAATCTTAAATTTTAATTTTAGTTATCATTATTCTTATTCGAAATGCCAATAGTAAAATTAATTTCATCTAAATTCTCTAGCGATGAGTGGGCTATCTTTGACTCGGCCCGGGAACAGCCTGACGATATCGGCTTCGGGACTCCGACGCTGCTTCATTTGTTCCGTTGCCCTCAGGGCTCAGGTGCCGTCGATTCAGAGCCTGGGTTTCGCCTCGACTTCCTTTTACTCGACGTCGATCTTATACCGGTACCACCTCCAATCATCTAATGAATTCCTTTTCCAGTCTCGTTTCCTTTATCTTTTTCAGTTTGGTTCCGGAGGAAACCGAAGAAATGAGAAAAAAAGAAGAAGAAGAAGAAGAATAACAGTGTTTTCTGAATTTCATGTTATTGTTTTTCATCATCATCCTCAGTTCTCTTGATTTTTGATTTTGGTAATGGGAAATTGTTCGGCGTTTGGTTTTTGCTTTTCCTGTTTTTTCTCAGTAGCCAGAATAGGTTTCGCTTGTGTTTTCCAATTTTCAAGTTGTTTTTTGGTTTTTCTTTAATGAATTTACATTGTTTTTTGTTGTAAGAATAGGAAAAGGATCAAAATTCTGAATCTTTTTCTGTTGGGTCGTGGTAGTTAGTATGGAATCGATTTTAGCAATGCCCTTATTTTGTTGTTATATTCAACTGTTTTCTGTGTAGTGACTGAATGGTTGTATTTCTAATTTCTGCGTTCTTTTTTCTATGCAGATAGTAACCGAGCATCTGGGAACAGGTATTCCTGTTTTTTCCTGTTATTGCAAGTGACTATTCCAATTGCTTTCTGTTCCTATTACATTCTTGAGGTTTTAGCCAGCTGACAATAATTTCTTTATATTTCTGATTTTATAGTTGTTATGGTCCATTTTGACTTCTGGATCAATTTTCTTTCGGTACATAGGATGATAGGACTCTCAGATCTTGCTTCATATTATTGTTGATGGGAAAATGATTGAGGGACAACATTTTTATACAATTTTTTTGTAGGACCTTACATGTATATCATTACCTTCTCGATATGCTCAAAATACCATGTTGTATCAAGAGCCCAAATGTATTTGGATAGCTTCTTCTTTTTTTTTCTTTTTTTTGTCTTTTCTAATTATAGGTTTCTATTGTTTGGAGATCAATGATTGGAAATGATATGTATATGTCTTAGTGGTTTGACTGGTGGGCGGGGGAGGCTTGGTTACCAATATTCTAAGTTGCTAATGCCATATTCAGAAAGATAAATATTTTAAGAAACTGAACTTCATTGCCTGCTACTGTAATTCAGCAAATCACTGAAATTCACTTGTGTCTGTTTTCTGCAGTAGCTTCTCACTGTTGTTAAGAAATGGCACTGTGGAGCATAAAAGATGCATTTGACCATCTTGCTGAGAGGCAGAAGTCCTCCTCCGCCAGATCCCAAGAAGTAATTGATCAAGTTGGCCAGGAAATTGAGCAGACATTGGCAAGAATCCAGTCTGTTAATGATCTCATGTCTCCTGATGATATGAAATCTATACTGGCTGAGCTAAAAGTCAAGCTTAATAGCATTGGTCCACTCCAACAGTTAGAACAGTTACAGAAGGAGCTAATTATGAGTCTCAGCAAGTATTCTAAACTCCTTGAGAATTCTTTCGCTGATATCTCCAAAGCAAATAGAAATGTTGACTTTGATGTTCACACTGTAAATCACATCATTGCATACCATTTTTACCGGCAAGGCATGTTTGATTTTGGAGATTGTCTGATAAATGAAGCAGGGGAGCCAGAGGCAACTGGAATAAGATCTCACTTCTTTGAAATGCATCAGGTACTTAATGGTTTGAGGGATAGGAACCTTGAGCCTGCACTGAACTGGATCACTGCCAATCGGGAAATACTCAAGCAAAATGGTTCAACTCTTGAGCTGAAACTCCATACTCTTCAGTTTGCAGAGATTATACGAAAAGGAAGTAAAATTGATGCGCTTGATTATGCCAAAACCTACCTTTCTCCCTTGGCTTCACTACACATGAAAGCTATCCAGCAGCTTATGGTTTGCCTCTTATATGTAGAAAGGCTTGATAGCTATCCTTATGCTGAGCTAATAGCTCCAACCAATTGGGAGAAATTTACTGAGGAGCTGACCCAGCAGTTTTGCAGTCTCGTGGGACAGTCAATTAGGAGCCCATTTTCCGTGGTCATGGCAGCTGGGATTGAAGGGTTGCCTACATTATTGAAGCTGGCCACTGTCATGGCTGCAAAGAAGCAGGAATGGCAAGAAATGAAACAGTTGCCTGTGCCAGTGGAATTAGGAAGTGAATTTCAGTTCCACTCTGTATTTGTCTGTCCTGTGAGTAGAGAACAAGCTAGTGAAGAAAACCCACCAATGCAGATGCCTTGTCTACATGTTCTCTGCAAGCAATCAATCATGAAGTTATCCAAAAACAGCTCTCGGACATTCAAATGTCCATACTGTCCAACCGAGGCTTCTGCTGCACACTGCAGGCAACTATACTTCTAATATATGGATTCCTTCCCATAGAACAAGCAAGTGATTCTGTGTCTAGATTGTCCCCTTCTTCAAGCATTTATCAATTAGAGTGTACATAAATATTCTTTACACATCCATGGTTTAATTTTAGAATGATCAGTCAGTTGCATATAATCTTTATAGTCAAAGTGCAGATCTTTCCCGGCAATACCGATGTCCTAGGAAGAGGATCCTATGCATATATATAGATAGGAATGCTTGAGAATCCATCCAATTTCCAATCATTATGCTCAATAAAAATCAACAATATTGTTGAAAAAATCATTAAAACCATTATTGATATAAATCTCCATCTAAATTCTATTGCAGAACCCCCATAATTCCATGCAATCCAGAAAAGAGAACTGAGGGAGAAGTTTTTTGATGTTGGTTTCTCCTCACGCAAATACCCTTCCACCCGGAAAATTTTCCTCAAGGTAACACTTCAAGAAATAGAACCTCGGTCAACAAGAGCAAATTCCTTTACCAATCAAACTATAACCCTGATAATTTTTGCCTTTGTATATGAAAAGAATTGCACATATATGCATTATAGATTTCAATTCGGAGTGGCTTGCGTATACATTACATACATATTTAATTTGAAAATAATATGGTTATACTGTCGTGATTTGAAAAAGGAAAACTTTGACATAAAATTGTACAGAGCTCACTTCCTCAAAACAAGAACTGTAAAAGAAATCTGCCCAAGTAGAGATATTAGCAAAACACCAGATAGACCTTTCCACAAAACAATAACGTAAAGGCAGCAGGCTTTTGCAATACAGTATAATCTGTTACTAACCCAGATGCTATCAGTATGCTGACTGCTGAGGCAAAAGATTAATGTATAAAGAAATAAATGAACGTATACAGAGTGTTTCTTCCTACAAATCTGTATAGAAAAGAGTGGCAGCATGACTTGAATCCTGCTTCACATTCCAACACCCTCTTTCATAGCTCAATGACAACAAACATAAAAATTTGGCCCTCATTGCATTCATATAATTTCTGAATCTTTGATGTCACATTTCTGCATCTTCATATAGCTTTTGCTTCTGAAGAGGTTGCTCCCTAGCTTTAATTTTGTGGAACTCTCCAAAATGATTATTGGATCAACTTAAAAAATTCATATGAAGTTCCATCATCCTGTCTCTAGACTTTTATGGATCAGCTGTGCTAGTATATCCACCCATGTATCAGGAACACCAGGTAGGCACCAGTGCATGCAGTCCTGGCCCCAGATTGACACGGCATCCTTTTTTCCCAGCCAAATTGCTGGATGGGCATCAGCTCTGAACTCACTCAAATGAGTTAGATCAAGCAATTGAATATCTGTGCCCTCCAATGCTTCTGTGATCATCTTGTTGAGTTGCCTCGCCTCTTTATTCACTCCATTGTTGCTGGGATCAAACCAGGAGTCAAGCTATCCAGGTATCAGTATTAAATCATCCTAAAAAATGCAGTACCACTTCAAAATTATAGATTCAAGTCTGATGGAACTTTACAAGATACACAATTTTATTTCAAGCATGAGCAAAAATACACCTCCTTCCAAAATTGAAGTCAAGATTGCCTGACTTAAATTTGAAAATTTTTTCCAAGACAGTAATTCATGCTGGTAAAATTCAAACAAAGACTGAAAATAAATTTGAACTAGATTCGATTTAATACCAGAGTTTATATTGCAATAGAAAATTGAATAGCAAATATCAATTCCCATCCTACCTCAGCAGCCTCAAGGGGCTTATCAAACAAGCAACTGCCATTTTGGTTCCAATCACCACCATAAAAATGCCTTGGTGATTGCAAACGCCAGAACTTGAGAGTGTTGCTAGGAACTGCCTTTTGAATGTACTGAACCATACTTTCAAGAACAACTTTAAGCCCATCAGAAATTCCCAGGGGAGGACTAATTGGTTTTCCACCACGATAAAAGATAAGAGGTGTCTCCTTCGGGAATTTATCATAGCCCCACCTAATCAAGAAAATGTACGTACTTCAGAATGCTCTAAACCATTTATTAATGAATATATAAGTGGAGAACAGTGCAATTAAAACACGGCCATACCGAGGACAGATCTCTTATTACAACACCTATGTCAATATTTCCACCCTTAACCAGTGGTTTTATGTCACACATTCTTCACTTCCCCCCTACCTCCTCCCCCATTTTGATCCAGATAAAAGTCATTTGCACTCATGTCATATCAGTTAAAAACTTTAGTCACTCTTGAGCACCAATCAACATTAACTCCATTTTTATGAGGCAGTATCTTGCAGATAAGATTGAACAAGTAACTTCAGTACTGAGGTTACAACTTAAGAAACAAAAATAAAATGGGTTTTCTAATTGTAGAACTTCCCCGTATACAATGTCACAACACTATCAACAAAATATATTAGCTAATTAATAAAAAATCCTTCATAGAGATAAAAGGGACAACCAAAGAACCAAATACATAAAAAGGGAAAGCAAATTACCAATGGCCAGTGTTAAAAATGAGAATGTCATAGAAATCAGCGATGCTGACCCATTCGTCTGCAGGAACATCAACATCCACTCTGTTTATTCCTTTCAATCCATTTTGATCAGCACTTACAGATTGTTTTGGCTGCCACCTTCGTGCAATCAGTTACAAGGATGTGAGGCTTCATTCTAAAGGTTAATAAGGCATAATATACAGCATAAGACAAAGATAATTCTCAAGATACTAGCTTGACCATTTTCAGCAAAGGCTACACAGACAATTACGCAAACTCAAATAACCAAACCAATCCTCAAAAATTTGTAAATAATTAAGGGAAAAAAAGAATTTTGTAAATAATTAAGGGGAAAAATGAACTTACTGATATTTAGCAAGCAAGACAGCCCTATGATAAGCAACTGTGACATTGTACTTGGGAAAATAAACCCCCTTCCAAGCCCCCTTCTTCTTCCACTTTTTGGCACCAGCATCAGCCACTCTAAGAATACACAAAAAAGACACCAAGAAATTCTCATTCAACGAATCGCCAACGAACCCAACATTCCTATTCCTCATTAGTCCCAGGAAACGCCATGGATCAATCCGTTCCAGGTCACAATCTTTAGGCACCCATCTCCAAGAATTGATGACCCCCATGTTATCCCTCTTGTTCCTGAGGCAATTCCAGGCGTTTCTGTGAAATGGGCAGGATTCATCATAGAATGGCTTGGGTTTTGAGGGGTCTAGAATCCACTGGCCTTTGAAGAGGTTGCAGGAAGAGGAAGATGCGATGATTTTAGTAGGTGGAGATGAAGATGAAGTGGAGACTTTGTTGGTGGCGAAAGGGAGGAGAGAGGAATATAGGAATAGAAGGAAAAGGGAGAGAAGGATGAGAAAAGGGAAGAAGGAAGGACACAGCTTTGGAGTTGGAGCCATTCTACGGGTTCACCATCAACGGAGCTGGATTCTTCAATTTGCCTCCAGCCACAGTAACCATCTACCGGCCTGGCCCTATATATTTTTAAAAAAATATATTATGAGCCTGATTTGAGTAATTTC